CACATATGAATCCATTCGCATGATACTTATAGTATATAGACATGTGTTGCATTTCTCCAGCCTTGGTTTATTATTTTCCCTCTTGCCCTGATATTCTAGCTGTATTCAACTATTTGCCATTCTCTCTCATGCTCTTGTCTTTGAATGTCAGTCCTCGTCCACTTCTCTTGGACAATTTGATCTTTTCAGTGTCAGTTCAGCAGTGACTGCCTGTCGCATGCTTGCAACCCTGGCTTTCCCTGTCCACTCTAGTGGCCTCGTCTCTGACATCACTGTTTCACCACTCCTTACACTTCTGTGCCGTGAACCTTTACCACGGACCTGCTCACACTGCACTAGTCTGTGTCTTCAATTTCTACCTTCCCCACAAAGAGATAGTTCCTCTCATACTAGTCCTGTCTCTGCAATCCCGAAGTTCAGCAAGTGTCTGATACATAGCTGAATTCTCTTATTTTCTGGAAAAAAAAAGGATTGATTTGATGGAAATTCAGAAAAAGAAAATCTTTCTCACTAATGTAAAGGAAGAACTGTCCTGTCAAAAGAAAAATTGGCATTCTAAACAAGAATGCATTAAAATTAAAATCAACTATACAAAGAAAAGGATTTGTGCAAATTATTCCAGTAAGTTTAAGTTAAATCTTAAGAAATGAAAGGTGTTGGTAATTTTGACCGTAGAGGTAGTCACTAGGGAAGGAGATTTAGCACTGACTTGAAATTTCATTCATAAAAAAAGGTTTTGCCTGTTTGCACAACTTGAACCTTTTACCTCAATGCTTCTTAATCTTTTTTGGTCAGACTTTTTTAAGCACCCCGCTTTCCACAGTCTCTACCTGCAAAATGCAAAATCAAAATAACAATTATGCCTTCTTTAAGAAATGTCTTCAACCTTTTCTCTGACTCAATGATTTCACTAAGCATTTGTTTCACTATTCAATTTCTGTTAGGTGACTTTTACATCATCTTTTTTGTCCTGGAAGTACTGTGCACTTATTATTTTGCTTATGTTGTCTCTGTACCTTTGCCGCATGCTTCAAAAAGACAGGAGCCAGGTAAGCATTTTATTAATTTTCCATCATCCTCATCCCAAGTCTGCCAAATACACAAAGGCTGAATGACTTTTCACCTAAGAATGAGTTAGGTTCAGGTAGTAACAGTTAATACTTATTGTGTGCTTAGTACTTAACACCAAGTAGTACCAACACTAAACCTCTTTAATTCTCACAATCACCCTATGAGGTATGTGGTAACCACATTAGGAATCTGAAGGACACCAAAACTATCTTAACATCTCACATCATGTATCCAAGAAACAATGGCCCTGGTATTGGAATACTGCCAACTGGTTGCCTTGACTAAAGGACACCAGTAGGTCTCCTTCCGTATTCATATCCCTACTTGTATAATCCTACAGGAGAGGCAGATGTCTGTAGGCCCAAAGGGACACACACATACACACACACACAGGACACTGAACCCTCTCTTAAAACTGCATTATTTAGACTAGTTTTCTGTGCTTTGTTTCTTCCACAAAACAATAATTTGTGGAAATCCCCTAACTCACAGGTATACATCTAGTTCACTCTTCCTAACGGCTGTCTTCCACAGGATCTATGTGTCATACTCTATTCAGCCACGCCCCCACACACTGTGTCCCCTTTGTTTCCAGTAGTTTGACACCAAGAACAATGCTGCATTAACACAAAACATCAGCAAGGCTGGAGGTGGATCAGGAAGCAGCAAGCTGTAAGTTCTAAGGAGGAAGCTGCTGTGTGCATCTGGTATTCCCGAATCTTCTCCTTCTCAGACAACAAGAAACATTTGGCCTATTCAGCTCTCCTTGGTCAGAGATGAGAAAGTGTGACATATTTTGGTGATTCTCAGTATCAGACTGCCCTGCAGAAGCCTATAGATTTGAAAGCCAGTCTTTGGGATACATGGCTCATCAGCCTTTCCCCCTATTGACACAAGCTGACCCATACAAGAGAAATCCTATCAAGATCCCCATCAGAAGCCTCATCTGGACCCAGAAGTCAAGTGAAGAGGAGGAAACATATTCTCAGCATTAGTGTCCCCAGAATCTATTCCAAGTCCATCTAATAATTTAATGCACTGCTACAAAACGGATTTCAAGTAAAGCCATCGTATAGAAAATTTAAAGTAGAAATACATTGACACAACGCCAGTTAATAAAATTAAAATCAGAGTAATGAACTGAAGAAAAATGGAATGGAAAACTACTGCATTTCCTTCCCCTCACTATAAGATGAATTTAAGACAGAAGATAAAGGGTATTAAACAGACCATACTGCAAACATTTGTACAGAAAATGGCTTTATAACAAAGAATCCAGGACCACTTACGCCCCCACCAGCTTCTACTTTCTGTTACTCATGAATCTAATGGATCTTAGGATAAATATACTTACACTAACCCATTCCACAAATTATATACCTATGAGAATTTTGTAATTTTCAATTACTCTTTTGCTTCAGTGAATGTCCTGTTCACTCTTTTCTATTCAATTTCAGTATGTATTTTGTGATTTTTCAACTTTCTTCCCTAGCACAAACTTTAGAAAATATCGAGCCGCCTTTAAGACCACTTAGTAGTCATTCAATTTGGATAATCAACTTTTTGAAGCTTGGGAAGATGATTAACTATAAATGTACCACACAGAACTTAACACTATCCTGTGTACAATGCTTAGTGTTTAACTCATAATACATACATTTTTCTCATATTCAAAGAATACTGACAAAAATTCTAGCGTATATCACAGAGAATGTCCTGCCCGCACCACAGCTCTGCCTGGAGTGATGGGCACATTGCAATGCCAAGATGTTGATCTAATGAGGAGTAATTACCCCATGTGCCCAAGGCACTTTTGATCCTAGGTGGCTAACAAAACATATACAGCAGTTCTGGATGCTAAGATGGAAATTTTATGGCAGCTATGACACACTCGAAAGGAAACAGTCATGTAAAGCAAGGTAGAGAAAAGTTAGTAACAGAAAGTTAGATTGGTGAAAGTTAACTTTACCAAAAGCATCCCAAAGATTATCACAGCTCTGGACCAAAGGTTATCAACTTTTTGGCTGGCGGGTGGTATTTTATAACGTAGTGCTGCACTATCAGAAAAAAACCGAAGAGTAAGTACCAACATAAGACATCACAACCACTTCTCCACAGGGTTTCTGCTATAATCCTAGACATGGGTTGCTCATAAACATGCTCATTTTTAAACGTAAATCTTCTCTTTCCTCTGAACGACTCTCTCCCATGGATCATGTCTCTACATTCATGGAAAAAAATAAATTAAAAAAAAATGTTATCTTTTATTTTCATAGGTACACAAATGACTTGGGATACCAATTACCAACATTTTACCGATTCACCCTTAGAATTATTTACTTTAAATCTTAGCCACCTTGAAAATAGTTTGCAGTAGTCTCTTTACAGTTAACCAACTGAGATTATAATTGAGTTGTGAAGTAAATTAACAGTTTATGGTTAGTACGTGAGCTCATTTAAACTTCTGAGTCCTAAATACCCTGTAGAATAGCAATTCCTTGTCTTTTTTGTTTTTGTTTTTTTGAGAACAGGGTCTCACTATGTAGTCCAGGCTGGTCTTGAACTCACATCAATTCTTCTGTCCTTGCAAACCAAGTGCTGGGATTACAGGTGTGTGCCACCATACTCAGCCTTCCTCTCCCTTTTTAAAAAATGACTTTTCAGCTTTATACAGTGACCCTTTAAAAAATCATATCCTCAATATTTTATTACACCAGAAATCAGGAATATCCAGTCTGAAAACCAGCCAATACAATACTGACCATCATTCTGAAATCATATGTAGCTTCTGACTGAAACAAAATTCCACAAGTCCATCAATTGAGTCCAGAAATGTTGCTGAAATCTGTAAAAACGTCTTGTCTGCAAATGTTGGTGGGCTGTGAATAGCATGGACTTACCACATATGGAAAGATTCACCTGCACTAAACTAACATACACCTAAACATTTTCTCAAGCATTCTATAGAAAGCCCTACAACTAATAAATGCTAGTGAATGTTAAGTCACAGCACCCTCCTCCCTAAGGCGCACCCTTGTTAGTACTGTGGATTACCAAATAGCAACACAGGACATATGCATGCACCTTGCCATTTAGCTCAATACAGTAAGCGCAAATAAGAGTAACTACTGAACTTAACGGCTTCACAAGGAGGTGAAGTGTCTTCCAGTTGCATGCTTGACCTTCTCAGGGGAACTATCTTAGAAAGGTTTGCAGTTGTTACACAGTACATCAAAAGAATATAGATGTTCCAGTGACTTCTGAACATAAAACTCCAAATGTACACTCTGATGTAGCTATTTGGTCATCTTATTTTCACAAAACAAAGAGTATACATTTCAAGTTATTTTATAAATCAGACAATCAAGTAAAAGTGGACATAAAAGTACTGTAATTTATAAGGCAAGATTTGGTAAATAGTAAACAATATATCATAAAAAATATGGAAAACACAGGGAAAGGTCTTAGACACTCAAAGCAACTCATCTTTCACCAAATTTGGAAAATAGGTGGACTGTATGCTTCTTTAAGAGAGAGTAAAATGACTTTGACCTGTACAGGTACTTATATAGGTCAAAGTCATTTTACTCTGAGTAGCTTAAGAAATCAAAACATTTCATATCTAAAAATATTCACAAATGGAGGCATTTCGTAAATATATATGATTGGAGGGAAAATTTGGACATTAAAAAAAAAAAATCCCTTAGAAAGGTGTTGCTGCCCCAAGTGGGATGCAGAGTTAAAGATTGAACAAATAAGCATGGTAATGCTATGCACAATTTACAGTGAATGCAACAGAAACATCCAACAACCAAAGGCCCCTAACAGCACCATGCTGTGATGGACTGTGATGGACTCGGAGGCTAGTAATGCTGACAAAAAATACTGCAGCTACAGACTAATGTTTCAGAAATAGTCAATGCATACTATTTTAAGGAAAAAATGGATGATTTATTATATAAAATTATGATTGGCAGAATACAGAAAAATTATTTCTCTTTTACCTTTACATATTTAGTATAAGTACCACACAAAGTGTAACATTTGGAAGAACATTTTACAAACTACCAAAAGGTATTCATTTGGTGAGGTTATTCAAGTCACAAATGCTAAGTAAATAAATGCACTTCAAAATATATGAAGTGTGAAATAATTAAGAAATCAGTGATCTTAAATGATTCCTTTAACAAAAACTGACAAACAACAAGCACAAGAAACATGTTGACAAGTTATAAAGAAAAGAACAAAATGCACTGATCAACAGGATCATTAATCTAATTTTTTTTAAAAAGTTGAATAATTAAGACTCAAAAACAGGATATTCCAACTCTACATATAACTTTTTTTTCTACCAATAACAGAAGGAAAGATTTGGAGGCCAACCATCCAGGTGCCTGTCAGAATATTTTCTCTGAAGTGTGCTATTGTTACATCGAGTTAAGAGAATGTATGCATTATGAAGGACAGGAAAGCAGTTACATCTGTAGAGGAAAATATTAATCTCTAGCACAAGCCTAGAATAATCAGCTTCCAAAGAATTCCTTTGTAGTTCAGTAAATCAGGGTAACAGTTTCACCCTTTAATGAAAAGGCAAATAAGAGGTCTCTGATAAGGTGAAACACTCATGGAGAAAACAGACATGCCTAAGAGAAATTCCACATAATAACTATAGTCTCATTAGTAAGGACTAATAATTAATGGTATACTTAAACTATTTTAAAAATGAAGGTGATTGGGGCTGGGTATTTAGCTCAGTGGCATAAGCACCTGCCTTGCAAGCAGGCAGTCATAAGTTTGATCCCCAGTACCAATAAAAAGTTAAAAAAAAAATGAAGGTGATTAATGAATAATACACACATCATATGAATTATATGCCAAATTACTGTATTCTATAGTCATAAGTGCTATTAATAACTACACTTGACATCATGCTACTAGAGAAAGAATTGAGACACTTAATTTCACATTTCAGAATTCCTGAGTCTTATCAGAGAAAAACAAGTACCAAAAAACAAAACAAAATAAATTTACCTATAGTAGGGCAAATAATACAAACCTGGGCATTAAGTTATTTAGAGTTTTAAAGCTGAAGATTATAGGAACAAATATGTAACTATTTCAATGAAACTATAAACATGATTTTAAAGCTTGGTTTTTTCAAAAGGCGTTTTGATTAAACAAGGCCACCTGAGTGACACCTTCAATGATGGCAAACCCACCATTTTAAAGGAATAATGTCTATTTCAAAGCCTAATTATTAATACAAAAAGGGAAAAAGTTTTTTTCATAAAATGTTTTATTAAGATTGCAATGGGACAGCCCTTTGATGAAAGATAGGAGGAGGGTAAAGCCAATGTAACCAAATTAGAACACAAGTTCTAATTTTGAGCCACTACCCACTAAATAATTTCCCTTTTGTTTTGCATATTACACAGTGAAAATAAAAATGTATTTATCTTAAGAGCACTTCAGTCCCACAATGCAGGATTTAAGCTTGTGTGAAAACATGTAAATGGCCCTGCATTAATGTGATGCCTGCAAAGATACATTCAACTGAAAGTTAATGTGTTTCCTAACAAGTAAGGAAAAGGGAAGCAAAGTGGTCCCACTTGAAACAATAAAACAAAACAACACTGTTTATTCTTTCTGGAGGGCTACCTAAGCAAACAGCAGCCAATAACATACATGTAAAACGAATACTTTTACTCATCTTTATAAATAAGATGCATACTACTATTCATGAATTTTATAAATAAAGATACTAAGCAGAAAAAAACGTTTGGGTTATCTCTCTGTTTGTAAGTACCCAGAAATAAAACGATTAAAAAAACACTAAAGTGCAGACCTAGAGGCCTTTACAGGCATGATAAAGAGGTGCAGCCAAAATTGCATCTACATTTACAGTTTACATATCCAGAAAATGATTCTTGCTTTAAAAAAATTGTGCAATTTAAAAACTAGTCAGTTTTGTTTGTGCCGTAATACAAATAGAAATTGTCTCTGCCACTAACACAGTGACTTCTAGACGTTGGACTGCACACTAGGCCCTGACAATCACACCTTTCTCTAGAATCATACAATATTGATTCCACCTCCAGAAAATGCTAGGGTCCTCTTGTTGCAGAATGAAGAGCCGCTGGTATTTGGTTGACTGCCTTTAACCAGAGAGGTTTTCAGTTCCATTTCGCAAGCTACAATAGCTGCATTCAACTCCACTTGGGCTCGATGTACTACATAAAACATGAGGCCTATGCTTATAACAATCTGTGAAAAGAAATAAAATATTAGTTATCGATATTATATGCAGAAAATAAATAAATCAATAAATATTTGGCTTGGGCTGGGGATTTAGCTCAGTGGCACAAGCACCTGCCTGGCATGTGCAAGGTCGTAAGTTCGATTCCCAGTACCAACAAATAAATAAATATTTGGCTTAGAAGTGCTTCACACAGGATGCTTCTTAAATATGATAGGCAAAGGCTCACATTTTAAATACTCTAGACACAGTTATCATTTATTTTTGTCTTTTGTTCCTTCTACCAAGAGTGGAGAGCCAGCATCTGTAGTAGGTGCTGTCTGGTAAATGCACAGTAAATATACATCCCTTTACCCCATATGAATCATGTTTGCTTCCAACAAGTCAAAATTTTCTATTTGTAACACAAAAGTGTCCTTCGAGGAACAAAAATATCTACTTAATAGCTGATTAAACATTAATTAATACAGAATTAAATAGGTGAGTTTTTAAATCCTCTGTCTCTAACATGTCAGTTCTAAAAGAAACAAGATACATTTAATGAAAATTCTTAAGTGTGACTCACGTGGAAGTAACACTATGTAAAGAGATGAAGAAAATGGTCAGAGAATTAAATGGGAGATATATGAATGAAATCCCAAGTTCAATTTAGGCATGCTGAACTAAGGCACCTTCCCGGGATCCAGAAAAGTTCAATGAATAGATCTGGTCAGAAGCAACAGAAAGAAGTCTAAGATAAGGACGCGCACTGGAAGCTGGGCGTCTACACAAACTTTAGCATCCACCAGATCCACTGGATGGCCAAGGAAACGTATTTTCTGCATGAGATGAGAAAATGTAGGCAAAGAGTCTTCAGAAATTATTTAGGAGATGAAAACAAAGGCAACACACTTAAGTCAGGCATGTGAGGGAGAAGTACACAACGATGATTCCAAAGAAATGAAAGGAAGATAGTATGAATGATGAAGGCAGAGTCAGCAGTCTGGGACTACTAACAAGTTAAGCTGGATGAGAACTAGAAAGTGCACCTAATTAGACAAGATTAATGATTACCTCAAGAATAGAGCCTGTCTTAGATGACAAAGTGTCTCTATTAAAATGAAATGAGAGAACCACAGGGAGGACAAGCCTTCTACAGGAAAAAAAAAAAAAAAAAAAAAAGCACACCTCTGCTACTATCAACAGGAAAGCAGGCCGAGGGCATGAGCAGGAGCACACAACGTAACAGATTTCTCGGTGGAGAGAGGGATTTTCCTTTTGGAAGTCTCTGATTTTTCCGTTAAAGAAGAAAAAACAATTTTTTAAGAAGGAAAAACGAAGCAGGAGAAGGAAGAGAGTGAATATAACCTGAAACTATTTCAGGCTACATTTTAACTATTTCAAGGAAATACCAGAGTGAGAAGACAGACAGTGTGGACTCAGGGCAGCAAGGAGAAAGCAGGTGGAGATCTGCATCATGAGTTAAATATTATCCATTTGTATCCATTTGTACAATTTTGCACCCAAAAAAACAGGTGCAAAACAGATCAAACTTGGATTTATCCAGAATTTGGGTTTTACTTGAGGAGAACCCCACAATAGAGGGCATGGAAAACAGTGACAAAAAAGACACTGTGGAATCTACGTTGGACATCAGTACAAGAACAGCTGTGTCAGGGCTGGGGATTTAGCTCAGAGGCATAAGCACCTGCCTTGCAAGTGTGCGTCGTGAGTTCGATCCCTGGTACCGATAAAGAAGAAAAAGAAAAAAAAATTAAAAAAAAAAAAAAAAGAACAGCTGTGGCTTCCTCTGATCAGCTATTTTGAATGACTTCAATTTTACTGACACTGTAGACTCACTTTAGGTTGATGTTATAAAGCTCAGAAACAAATCTGTGGTTTGTTTCTAGCAAACAGGGAGAACCTCATGAATACACTTACTAACTTTAACGTAAGCTTCATCATTTTTCCTTGATGCTAATTTTCTCCTTCAAGATGACTTCCTCCCCATTCTTCCGTATATATTTCATAAGCTTCCATTAAATCCTAACTGAAACCAATCAAGCCCTAACATCAACAAATCAAATTGAAGCTTGATTAAATCTTAATTTCCTCCCATAAATGCCTAGGTTAAGCTGAGCTTTTTTTTGGTTTTTTTAAGGTTAAATTTGTCACCTCAATGAAGAGGTAAGAAATCACTGTATAAAAGATGATTCTATGCTTTAAAAAACATTAGGAATCACCGTGAGTATAGCTGTATAATTTACTAAGATAAAAAAAAATAAGAAGTTCTTCATGGGCTACTAATGGATTCTAATTACCAACCAAATGTCAAAAGAGTTTTGAGTAGATTACTCATTTTCAGGAAATTAAAACAACAACATATACTTAAATTTATATTAAAAAATATACTGAGAATGCAGTAAACATCAAAATCTTATAGTACCTTGAGATTATTATAAACATTAAATTACCACTATACTATAGAAATAATATATAAGAAGTTTAACATGTGATCAATGTTGTATTAAGATAAACCAAATGCAATAGATTCTAGTTATCCAAAGAAAATACAGATCTGTACAAAAAAGTAGTAAAGAAAAAACTGACTTCTTGAATATCAAAGATATTATGAAATTTTTCTTAAAGCAAGCCCTTCACACAAAGCCCAAATAAAATATTGCTTTGTGATGACTTTGAAAATAATCAGTGAGAAAAAGAATCCCATTCTTACTCCTTTTTCTTCAGTATGAATTTTCAGTACATATTAATTCAGTTCGAAAACCTTCCATACAACCATACAATTAAGAAAATGTCAAAATACGTAGTATTAAAAGAACAAGGAAAGATCTAAAAAAGAAAAATACTCTCTTAAATTATGTTCAGTGAAATCTGACAGGTTATTAAACCAGCAAGGCAATATACAAAGAAAAAGAGCAAACACAAGAAAACCTTTGGCCTTAAACTCACCTGTAAACAAAAAACAAAATATCCACTAACACTCTGTTCTGCAATGACATCTTCCATTGTCCGCAGGGTGGTACCCAAGTAAGAATTCAGAAGCTGAGTAGGAAGCAGTCCAATTGAAGATGCCATCAGATAGTTGGGTAATGACAGATCAGTAATCTAGAAAGCAGATTAAAGGGAATGATTCATTACCAAACAACATAAAAATGTGTACATAAACCTTGCTAGAGGGTTTTACTTGGGAGTGGAGAAGGCTGAAATATTTAAAAGCACTTTGACTTTTTAAAATGATTACCAAGGAAATATATGCAGAATACAGATTTAGAATAAAATACAAATTGAAAGAAAATGTTAATATTCTGTTATTCTGCCACTGAAAGAGAACATTTGCAACTATTTTCTTATATGTGAATAAAACACACATGCAGATTACTCTGTAAAAATTTTAAGTATTCCTCGTGTAATTAAATATAATTATTCTTAAATGGCAGTGTGGTCATGGAGATGAGAAGCCAGATCACCTCAAAATGGCATTTCTGTGCTGAGAACTTGAGCCATGGAAACCATTATCTTAGATCCAGAAAATATGCACTGCTTATTTCTGTTTCTATGTATTTTTTTCCTTACTATTATTAAAAAAAAACACACAAATATAACAAAAACTTCTGCATATTAACTTACATGGAAGACAGCACCTAAAACACTTCCAAATGGGTCAGTTTCCTGGTATTCGTGCCTTACGGGTCTTTCCTGCTTGTGAGAGAGCTGGACCTACTGCTTCTTAGCAAACAGACTACTGCACAGAAATGATATGTCATTTCCAAGATTAGGTTACAAAAAGAACAGGACTTCCATCTCTTCCTCAAGCAGGCCAGCTGCCATACTGCAAGTAGCTCCCCAGAGAGGTCCATATGGAAAGGAAATGATTTCTTCCACCAACAGCTAACTAAGGCCCGAGGCTTTCATAGCCACAGGAGTGAGCCAGCATGTGGACTGTCAATTAAACCCTTAAAGGACTGCAGAATCTGGAGGCCCCCACTAAAATGCAGAGGGATTCCTGACTCACAGCAATAAGGAGACAATGTTTGCTGCTTTTAGTTATTAAGTTTTGAAGTGATTTTACACAGCAATAAATGACTAATAAAACATCAATCTCAAGTTATTTTACGATACATCACTTCAGAGTGAAATTATTGGCTCAAATAATAAAAATTTCACTCTGCTCTAAAATGCTAATTTATCTGTCAAAATGAATGTGTATGATTATCTTGCTACTAAACTGTTATGTATTAAATTTCAACCATTTTTAGTTTCATATGTCTAAAATGATTGTTATTTAATCTTTACTATTTTCATTCATACCAACATCTTTGTTATACATATTTTTCTATTTTTCATTTATGGCTTCATTTATTCACATTTGTCCTTTTTTGAACGCTAGCTGTTTTCCCTATTTATAAGACCGCTGTACATTTTAAAGATAACCTATAATCTATCACATGTGTATTATGTTTGCCCCAAAGCGTCCTTCATCATTTTTTGTTGCTGTGTTGAGACGGGGTCTTGTGATGTCACACAGACTGGCTTCTCACTCCTGGACTCAAGTAATCCTCCTGCCTCAGCCTCCTCAGTCGCTGGGATTACACATGCACATGGCTCATCTTTTAGGTTCTGACTACTAACAATTTTTTAAACATCTACATAATGTAATATTATCAATTTTTCCTATGCTTTTCTATTGCTTTTAGCTTTAGAAAGTCTTAGATCTCATTGTCAGTTTTATCTATTTTTTATTCTTTTCCTTTCAAACATTTACCGCTTAATCCTCCTTCTGGAATTTAAGCAAATTAAAAATGAAGATATAGCCTTATTCTCTCCCTTTCCTAAGGGAGAGAAAATAAGCCTATTTTCTTAGCATTACGTATTAGATAAATAAATTACTTATTAACTTGTTATACTTACTGTAAATTAAGCTAATGTATATAAAAGGCCTCTGAGGAGCTTATTACTGACCATCCACATTTCAAATCTGGTAGTTAAAACCCAAATTATAGTAAAGACTACCAGTTACAATCTGGCAAGGAATTTCCCATTCCCTTTGCACCTCTTCACTCTTCTTAGAAGTATCACAACCATTCTCATTACTTACTTTTATGGATCATTTAGCCATTCAAAAACCAAACAAATTAGTAAATTTTCTGTTAGGATTAAGGTAAATTTATAAATTTAATGCAATAGAGCTGAAATATCCACAGTATTCTACATTTTTCTCTAGAAATATTTTTACGATCACTAAGCATCTTTTTTCACACATCTTAACTAAAATTTGCTTGTCTTATCCACATACGTCACACATTTCAATTTATTTCTAGACATGTCATGTCCTTGTTACCACTATCACTGATTTTGAGAATAGATTCTCTGTACCCCTGCTGGATATTATTGGTATGTAAGAAAGTTATTGGCCATTTTATTAAACTTTTTCTTAAGTATTTAAGATCTGGTTATTGTAATCAGCTACAGGCTACTTCATACTACAATATAATCTAATAATCATGGAAATTATAATTTCATGAAAGTTACATTCACCTCCAATTCACAGATGATTAGATGCACCATAATGGTTTGGACAGACTATTACAGCAACAATACTTTATCAATTACTGACTCAGTAACTGTTCATTCAGATGTTTCAGTAAGTGTCAGAAAGCAACAAGGTGTCGAGCCTTTAAGGATTTACATATCAACAACTACAGACCCTACCTGAGACACAGAAAGGAAGCCTGCATAGACTATGTACTCAGCATTAAAGAATAGTGAGGAATTAAAATGTTGTAGGAGTTGGAGCCAAAGGGAACTCTGTAGTGTTCAGAATGGACGTGAAAGCTAACTGTAGGTTTGGTAGGCAATAATGGGAAGGATGAGGAAGGCAGGTGTTCCAGGAAGAACTTAACAGCACAACGTGGCAAGACAAGTACACAATACGTTAATGAAGGTGACAGTATGCTTTGGATCATGTGTAAGCCATGTGCAAGGGAAATCCTGCAAAATAAAGACAGGAAAGTAATTGGGGAAATGCTTGTTAATGGCCGTAAATGAAGCCAGAGAAAGAGTACCGGGGGTTTACCACCAGATGCAAGAACTTTTTTTAGAATACGTATGTCAAACACATAAAATCAGTAAATATAACATCACTGTAATTATGCTGCAGTTAATAACATTACATACTATGAAAGTTATCTTTAAAAACTTAAGTTATAGTCCAAAATGTTAGAATGCACATTTTCAGTCCGTATCATTTAAATGTAATGAAGTTTCTCTTCACTCCATTTGCCATTCAAGATGGTACCAAAATATGCAAATGGGGAGTTTACAACAAATTTCATTAATCTGAAACAATCATAACACTCAACTCTCAATAAGACTGTGGTCCAATGCATAAATTAAAGTTTGTCAAAACTTTCATAGCCAACTTCATCTTGGGGAAAAAGTGTTCTCTATATACATTTTCTTCCTGTAAAGTTGAGTATGAAAAGACAACACAAAACCAGTTTCAATCACTGTAATAGTTTTGCTGCAATGTTCAATGATTTAACCAGGTGAACTACACAGTGAGTTTTTAAACTACTACTTTGTTAAAAATGAAGATTTCAAACTGTTTTATTACAGCATATCTGGTATGCCAAAATCCTACTCTGCACCTCCATCTAGCACTAGTCTTTAATAAATATTATTTAGAGTATCCGTTCCCACAAAGAGACCTATCCAATATTTTCTTCCCAGTAAGCCCTCACCAATCCAAAGTCATAAATATGTGTCCTCATTCTACTTTTCAAAGAGTGACTAAAGTGAACAAAGGAACTAGAATTTCTGCCTTTAGTTGCTGGCTCTTGACTTGGGAGCTGTCCTTTAAATCCAAAGAAGCTGAAGACACCTAGCATATAGATGATATCCTGCTGATTAGTTTCTATGATGGACACACTAAAGAATTTCACAGAGAGCAAACGACATCTGATGGCAGATATACTCTTATTCCCAGAGTTCCTGTGATAGAAACCCAGTACACTTACCTGGTTCAGCAGGTGTGTTACGGCTTGGGTCTAGATGTCCCCCAAAAGCTTCATGCAGTCACAGATGGGGCATTTTAGAGGTGGCTAGATCTAGAATGAGTGACGCTGAGATGGTGCAACGCTAGGATCAAGGGCACTAGAATTAAGGGTACAAATGCTACCTATCGTAGGTAGTCTGGATAAAATATAATACAGATAGAATATAAATAGAGTTGTGGTCATTTCTCACTTGCTCTTGCCTGCCTGCTTGCCATGAACTGTTTCTCCTCTGTGATGCTTCTCTTTGTGTCAGTCTTCTTGGAGCCAGTCAATTATGGACTGAAATCTCTAATCTCTGTGAGCTACCTAAATAAAGTTTTCCTCCTTTAATTTTGGGTGTATTTTATCTCAGCAATGAGAAAAATAAGACAAGGTATTAATGTAAAACGTTCCTTCACCATGTGACCAAACAGGTTCCCGTAACACAACAGTAACATTCTGGATGCATGGGGAGAAATTATGACAAGCAAGAGCTGCTTTTACCTCTAAACAGGGAATGCTGGAGCTGATAATCAGAGGGCTTCCATCTTTATATCTGGCACAGAACAAGGTAGAGCTCTGAAGGAACTGGACTTCAGAGCTCCTTGGCTGTTTAAGTTTGTATTTGCTCACAAGAGCTGTATCACCTATAATTGACCTAAGAAACACTGTCATTTTTATATATATCTTGCATGGACATAATGAAAAACCTAAAGGCATTCTGTGGTCAAAAGAACTCAAATTCTATCGATATTGGAGCCGTGGATTTAGCTCAGTGGTACAGCGCTTGCCTGCCAAGCATGAGGTCCTGAGTTCAATTCACAGTACCAAAAAAAAAAAAAAAAAACAAAGTCTATATCTCAATAAATCTATTAATTTTGGCAGAGCTGTACTTTCCTGCATAGGCATGACTCTAGGTTTACATACTTGGAATGCTGTTTATTAACAAAGTTACTGCTGAGCAATTACACAAATTCCAATTAAAACACCTAATAATATTACATAGAAAAGGTATTACATAAAACATCTAATATTACATAGAAAAACCATAAATTTCTACAATGTTTTATG